TGCTATGTAAATTTATGCATTAATCAGAATTCAATTGCCATTCAAATTAAAAATTATCACTGTTATTTAATGCAAACATCTGGTCTGTTCAGGTCTTTCCCAGGTGGAGCTTGTCCCAGCCATGGTGAATGTGGACAAAGAATGAGAAACACAGGTGTTCAGAAAGGGAGGCTTTTCAGGAAGGACTCTGAGGGTAGCTTTGCTGAAACACATCAGGACCCAGGCCACTGTGTAATAAAATTAACATTGTTACCAAGCAGATTCAGGTCTAACTGTGTGATAAATCAGTAAACAGCCTTTTCATCATCCAACCGTCTCTAAGTGGAAGACATTCTCAGCAACATAGCCAAACCCCAAACATTAATAAATTGTTCAAGAATTGTAAAACAAATATAACAGTTTCTGCAGGGATCTTAAAATACAATTATTATGGGACAGAGCCCCAGCAGAAGTAGAAAACCATAAAAGTAGGCTGTGCAAAAGACAGATGTGCAAAGACGTTTTTATCTCAGTTGGCCTGAATAAACAACTTTGACATGCTAAAACAGCTGGTTTAACAATTCAGTAAAAATTACTTTTTACAGATTAATGGTTTAAACTCAGTAATCATTAGACTTAAAAACTGCATTTGTTGATTAGTTGGCCACCTGGAGGGAGCAAAACAAGCCTGTAAACACAAAACTAAAAGGTCAGTTTATTTACAAATTCATCACATATGTAGCAACGCTGGCAGTTCATTTGGAGTCTAATAGTAAGTAAGTCCAATATCCACTTAAATTTTGGCTCTGTTTTGCTCTCCACAGTCTCTGGCTCTTCAGTTGCAAAATGCTCTGCTATTCAACCAGATAGTTGCCAGCTGTGTAAAGTGGCCTGCTGCACCAAAACAAAGGGTTAAAGATGATGAAACAGAGCAGAAAAAAACAATGGGTCTCATTCACCAACCATTCGTAAGAACAAATTTGTTCATAAAACCCACAACTCACAAAGATAGTGGGATGGAATGTTTTCTTATTTGGGGCCTATTCTTAGATAAGGTCAGAATCTATGCACACTCAAGAACATGCTTATGCACATTTGAGTGCGGACGTGTTTGTAAAATAACTGGTTATTTAGTTTTCTTCAGTTCTACAGTTATACAATATCATAAGCTTTATATTACAATAACAGTTTTGTCATTGTTAATATTTTTCCCATTATTTAACACAGCATTGTGGTCTTTTATAACAAATAAACACTACACATCAAACCATTTTTCTAATTCATCAGTTGTGGGTCCTTCTCGTTATACAGTGTTCACTGAATGAGTAAAAGCATCCCATGTGCCTTTTTTCTTTTATTTTATATCCATTAGTGATGCTACTAAATTATGGGATCTCATTTGCTGTTCTCCACTTCAAAACTATTAGTTTTTCTTCACTTTGGAGTTCATTGCTCCGCCATCTTTAGACTTTCACTGTAGCATTACTCCTCTTTTCCCTTTCTGTGTGAGATGTGTGCACATGGCCCTGCAGTCTCCCTTTTATGAGCATTGATGAGGCGTTAACCTATGCTAATTAGGAATGACTGGCACGTGCATTCAACTTAGGAACACATGGGTTTCATCAATATAAAACACGGGTGTGAACAATTCTGAGGCTTAAGAACTCGTTGATGAATCAGATGCAGACTTTTCTTAGGACCTTTCTTAACAACAACCTATGAAGAAATTGTATCTTTCACTTGGCTGACAAAACAGGTTGGGATTTGGAATTTTGAGGTTCAAGGAGGATACCACAAAAACATAAGCTGAGACAGACTTCAAGACACAAAGCATATCACTCTGCATGTGACGCCAATTGACCATCACCACATTTCACTCTGTTTCCATGGACACAGGAGAAATATTTCAAAGATCCAACACCAGCCCTTCTTTTTCTGATCATATGGTTATCAGAGGTTTTCACAGCACATGACCAGAGCTATGGAGAAATATTGTTTTTAAACTGTATGTTTGAGAATTCAAAATGTAAATATAAATGCTGGGCTATAGTTGTCATTTTTGGTTGATTTTAGATTCAAACATTATGGAACACATTTTTCTTTTAGTGTGAGGTGAACAGAGGTTTAGATGCAGATTTAGTTTCCCCGCCTGTCCAAATATCAGTAATGCCAGGACTTTAGATTCACCCATAATGAAATCCACATGTTAAAGTAATGAATCCAAGTTTTTAGCCCAATGTGCCTGTAATATGTCTGTGTGAGATCACATGCATTAATCTTATTTTCTCTTCATTCAAAAAAAAAAAAAACTCCACATTTTAAACTCACTCTGCATCCATTGCCAACTTTGGTTTATGTTGTCTACAAAGCAAAAAGAGTCAGTGTGCAATGTTGTATTTGCTTCTGTATTTCTCACTTTTAGGTCCCAATTAAATGCACATT